GGGACTCTGATGAGTTTAATAATATAATAGATCACATCATTACCCAATAATGGAGTGTTGTGTTCATATTTTAGTAAGTTTGAATTACTTCAAGCGGCCATAGTCTAGTGCACCCCGGGCAAGCCGGCGACGCTACATATGAAGCGTCGCGCGCACACTTCGGACCGGGGCCGGAGCTTCTCACGAAGCGTCGACAGTAGTCGCGCAAGAAGTTCATGAGAACTCTGAAGCGTCACCAGCGGGTGCATGTCACTTGACAGCTGCCGCACCGCACCAGCGCACTACCAGCTGCTGCACAGCACCGACGCATTATCAGCTGCCGCACGGGACCAGTTCTCAACTTGGCGCTCAACAACTCTCTTGATCTCCCTTCTTCCCATCTCATCGCTTGTCTTCCTTAAAGTTAAACGTTTTTGTCTATTCAACCGTGATACGTGATATCAATCCATGATTACCGGCACTCGTCTGGATTTTAGGAACGTCAAATCTTAATCGAAACAATCAATTTGGTACCCAAGTGGCTTGGTTAGAACCCAATCGAGTTGAAAAATATTCATTGACAAAGGAAAAGATAATGATTGAATTAGATTATGTAATTGTGTTTGGCAGGTTATCGTGCGATGACTTTGACTATTGGCTGCTTGCTTGGTGCCCGCCAATCAGGCATCTTGGACGTGATCAGTTATATTTCGGGGATCTCTGGAAGCTGTTGAGCTCTTGCGGGCTGGTATAGTGTACCGGTGGCAACCTTCTTGCCTTGAGCAATCATATCAAGAGTTGTATCACCGCACCATTTTCGAATTTGGACAACTTTCAACTCTTTAAGGCCGCACCTACCAATAAAGTCAGCCCAAAAAACTTGACGTTTTTCTATTCTACGCTTTGATTACTAATCATGACTTTGTGTCGTATCTTTTCACGGGCCCAGTCGCCAACCTTGGCAGTAAAGGTGGCACCACGTCATTGGTGGATGTGTACGGCACACTGGTCTCATCCCGCTTATATGTACCCGATGATCTCTCGCGTTTGGACCCACATCATCTCAAACTTTCAAATCGGTGCCACCTGCTTGATGGCAGATGACCCTTACCCATATACTGCGCAATATATCATCAAGTTCCAGACAAACTTCAGCGTAAAAATGATTCAGACAACACTGAGAGCTCTTTGGAAAAATTCGCTTGTGACCAATCATTCATATCAGCTTTGTACCACGTAAGTTGCTATGCTACAGAATATATGATGGCGACATGCCAGACTCTAATGAGATATTCATTTATTTTAGTGGTATGAAGTGACTCCATATGAAGTAGGCTCAAAGGATGTCGGTGCTTTCATTCCTACTTGGGCGCTAGGACGCGCGTTTTAAAACGGTCGTGACATAGAGGCTCGGCCTGAAATAAGCCTTTTGAACATGAGCGGGATCTTTGCTTCGGCCTTCACTGCCACCCTTGCTTTAGAATTGATCAAATATAAGACTGAACATGAATTATGACTCTTATTATAATTGAAAGGTTTATACTTCATGATGTGGGTAAATGGGGTAAATGTGAGAAAATTTTTCTGTTTTCGTAGCTTTGCTTCAAGTAAGGCATGGTTTTTCCTCTTCATCATTTCTTTCGCATTCATTTTGTTTCATGGTTTGTATTGAGTTAGTAATTTATTGTTAGACTAGCCCAATCAGCGGCGGGCGCCGCACATCTCCTTCCCAAGAGATTTCTCAGACTTTCACACAGATCTCAGTTTCACAACAGGTGTGATACATAGCACATCTACAATTGAAGCTTGAGTTTTTGAGTCTAAAAAAATTGCTTTCCAATGTAGACACATC